AAAACAACCCAGACCTGAATTTCTGTGAGTCCTTGCTTCTTAGAAAGTTCAGACACATTCTGGGAAAAGAAAACAGAAATTATTTTTGCACCTTGAGTCAGTTTTCTCTTTCTAATGAGCTGAAACAGCTCTAATCTCAAATAATCTGAGTCAAAGTGCTACACTATTGTTCATTTTTCAATAACAACACTTATTGAAAGAGTTTGAAAAAGAAACGGCAGTCAGAGACACTGGGTGAAAAAGGACAATATTCACATTTTGATTTTAATTTTTAACAAAAATGGAGTAAGAACAGTTTAATACGGAGCATGTCCAGTGACATTGAATTAAAAAAATAAAATAAAAAATTAATGACTGGCCTCATGATAGTAATTTGAGCAGTCGTGCCTCTTTATGAGAGATACAGACATTGTTGGAGTCAGATTACACATGAATATGTTGTGTTTTTTTAACTGTTTAAAGGTCTCACACTTAATCTTATAATRATTATTTAGAGTATGTTTAATCCAAAGAGTATACCTCCATGGTTCATCTAAATGGTTCATTTTTCATATAGTATCAGTGTTTACATGATGACTCTGAACGTTCTAGGCAAATATCAGGAAACAGATTTTTTTTACTGTGTTTCTGAACGTGACATAACTCCAACTCCTTCTGCAGCAAAGTCAGAGAGGAGCCCATTTCGAGTGTTGAGTTAAAAAAATAAAGCTTTTTTGGACACAACATAATTACTGCAGTCATTTCTGGCATTTACTATCTATAATTTATTTTCATCCYACGTCACCAGACAGGCTCTGTCATTTAACAGATGAATATTTTTTAAGAAAAAAATCACAAAACTTAAATTGTAAAATATGCATAAACTGTAGAAGATATCAAAGTGCCAGTTCAGATCTTTAGGTTATTAAACTCTGAAAGTTTTTTCTACTGTGAAGTCTGACTTAGATGTACGTTGAGCTCTGGATCTTCTCATTTGTTTGACTGAAATCCCATTGATTGCCATTATTTTGTTTTTTTCTCTGTTGTACAATGTACAACACCAAAAACCACAGCACACTACTATTCCAGTTTGTACCACATTTTCTGATGAATATATCCAATGAACAATTTTAAAGGAAAAATCGGGGCAAAAATAAGTGTTGTTGCTGTTTCTTGTGCCAATGATTATKTTCATTTCTTTTATAAAAGAACTTCAGCTGAAAACAAGCCCTTCTGCTTAAAATAAAAACGTTTYAATGTGTACACTTAGCACGACATGCTAACTCTTTGGCCATTAGAGGTTTAGCCCAAAAAATCTGCACAGTAACAGGAATCACCCAGTTGGCATGAGTCATTAGGGCTAAATGTCAAACGGCTATTTTAAAACCACTTTCTTTATTTACATCCTCTTTTTCACAGACAACATTTTGCCACCAAACGATTGAAAAATAAATACATAAAACTATACAGCAGGTCTTAAAGAGGCTCTACACAATTTTTTTTTAAAAATCATCACTTTTGTTGATGAACATTTCAAACTTGGTTTTAATCTGTTGTAAAATGTGCACAGATGAAAAACATGACGCCAACTGAAGTTGTCGCTGTTTCTTGTGCCAAACTCTTTATGCATTTTATATAAACCTGCAAGATAAGGCTGCGCTYACAGAGGATTCATTAAAAGGAGATCTAAACCAGATAACGACTGAAACTCAAAATACTAAATYACGAACACAAAACAGCTTTTCAGCCAAACAAGGTGGGAAACCTGCCGACGGAGTCACGTTTCTTCCACTGGAAACTGGAAGCCAAGAAACAGAACGTCCCAACCTAGTCCCTAAGTTTGACAGCAAACATTTTAAATCTATATGCATATACGGAGGATCAATTTCTTGCACAGACATAACATAACTTTGTTCTTATAAGTGGCCAATCTTGTATTTGATGAAAGGTTTGGCAGCATTAAAGCTTCCAGTTTCTATAAACCCACACCAGTTAGTTCACGTTTAGAGGTAAAGTAATTTATGTCGGCTTTATGAGATAAAATCTGCAAACAGTCTCTTGAGAAGCACATCATAATTATCCTTAACTTTCAGCCCTGAGAGATTCAGCGATATAAAATGCAAAAACTCCCCCCAATCTCCCTGGGGTGTGTGTTCTATCACACTGCCAAGTTTGGATGATCAAGTCCAGACAGCGCCATATTTTACATTTTCACACTCCTCGCCACAGAAACACAGACACAAACACACACACAAAGAGAAAAATAAATAAAAATAAATATACAATAAATAAGTCATAACATTTCTCATATTGTCTTTCATTTAACTGGATTTAATCTGGGAGAAGACAGAATGTTCGTGAATAATTCTCTTCAGACAGCGCTGCTGCAGCGTTGATGGATCTGAAATCTTCTGACTGAACWACAACATATAAACAATTGAATTACGGCAGCACATATAAAAAAAGTTTATAATTTAAGAAGTGAGAATGCATTTCATATCTGAGACTTGTTTTCTGACGCTGCAAAAACTCTGTAATGAGCTGTGTTAGCTTTATTTTGAGCCGTTAARGCTGGGATCACCACTCACCACTGGCCTTAAAATCCCCCTTCAGCGAACTGGAAGTGGCCCGCAGGCCATCAGTTGATGATCACATTTCATGGTTCAGAACCCCTTTTTTTACAGAGCAAAGCAACAGAAACAGCTCTTTTGATTCTAAAGATTGCAGACCCCTGATTTAAAGGATGATTACCAATAAAAATCAGCGTAAATCCACTTCTTATCTCATTAGTCAGGCCTGCCTGGTTTAGCCTGTAACTGATCCTYGCAGCAATTAACAGATATAAAAAACTCAATGCAGCAGCCTAGATGCTGCAGTATATTTAGATGGATGTGAATATAGCACAGCAGAAGGAGGTGTAAAATTATCCTGAGATTACCGTAACAGAAAAATGATCCCCACAAAAAGTCCCCGGGTGGATTTAACACTCAAGCTGACAAGTACTTATGGAAGATGGGCATTCATAATAAAAAGTTAAAGCCACAACAGCTGTAATAAACTCAACTTAACTAAAGAGATGCTGCAACTAAAAAGCAACTCCCAGACAAAAGAAGAAGAAAAAAGTTTCCAGATTGTTTTTTTTTAAATCCATACCTTCTTTTAACTTGAAGAACCAGAGTCCTCTCAGGATGGAGCGTCTTGAAGTTGCGCAGAGATGTCCTCAAACATAAAAAAAAAACTCTTCAGTTTTTCTCTTTTCTTTATTTTTTGCTCTCAACTTTTCTCCAGGCGAGTCAAAACAGAGAGATTTGGGCTTTGGTCCCAGCCGCGCCCATCAGAGCTGCAGCTTGGCAGGCAGGTGTGGCAGTCTGCACGGAGAGCTGAAGAATAAGAAGAGAAAGAAAAGAAAGAAGAAATCAGCGCCTGGGGGGTGTGCATTAGGTTCTCTGTGTGTGTGTGTGTGTGTTTGTGTGTGTGTGTGTGTGTCTCAGCCCTGCAGACACAGAAAGTCCTCTGTGAGAAAAAAAAAGTGAGAAACTCCTCCTCTTGCTGCTGCTGCTCCTCTGTTTTTAGTCACCAATTTTTTAAAACTGGATAAAGTTTTATGAGGAGGAGGGGAGATTTAAACAAAAGATTTGGGGAGTTGAGGTTTTTTTTTTTTTTTTTACCTTTCTCCGTTTCAGGTTTTGATGATCTGCTGTGTGCAGTAAATCCATCCTGCAGACTCTGGAACACATCTGGACCCCATATGGGAAAGAACAAGAAAAAAAAAAACTTTCAGTTTTTGATCTATAAGTTACAAAATCTAACCAGTGTCCTGACTGTTTCACAACATGCTGTAATGAAAAGCTTAGCATTTGTTTCAGGAATGCACGTCGCCCGCCGCCTTTTTATGCTGGTGTTTTAATCTAAGCTCTTTCTTAAGATGAGAAATGTGGCAATTTTGGTCAAACCTTGAACATAATATATTCACTATCGCAAAATGCTCAGATATTATGTTGCAAATGACTTTCAGCTACTACCTTTTCAAACTTTAGCTCAAAATCTTCAAAACTGACTGATCTACAGTCATTTATGACTTTGTTAATGTTGATTAGCTGCGATAATTATCTTGATTCGGGTTTACTCCTAAAGGTAATCAGTTGTAGATGTATATCCAATGACTATTTTTCTGAAAGTTTGATTAAAATCTGTTCATTTTTTTCATCAGATACGTTGCTAACAGACAAACAAGGTTGATGGCAACAGTTGATCTGAATGTTTTAAGCAAAGGATTTGCACAGCAGGTTGCACTAAAGATATGTGTTGTGAATGACTCTCAGCTACTACTACATCAAATGTTACCACAATTATCTGAAAAAATGACTGAGTCAGAGCTACGTTTGTGATTTTTGGGTTCAATTGTCCGTAGCAGCCATCTTGACTTGGGTTGAACCCAGAAGATAATCTGTTGTAGATATATCTCCAATGATTATTTTCTGCAAGTTTCATTCTAATTTGTCCAGTGGTTCTTGAGATATTTTGCTAACAGACACATAAAACACAGCTTTTAGTGAACTGATCAGTTTGATGTRGTCTAATAGAAATTTTGTTTTGCAGCTGGTTCAGGATCAGTGTTCTGTTTGCTCTATAGCGTTCCTAAACTTTCATGAGATGATTATAATATTCCCCAGTAGCTGCAGTAAGAACTGTTTTCACCCACATGCACACTCGCAAATGAGAGGCTGCCTTTTTTTTTTAACTCTGTAATCACACAAACCAAAAGACAAAAAATCCCAATCCGCTTATTTGCATTTATGCAATGAGAGAAATTAGATGCTTTATTCCTCCGCTGGCAGCCACAGGTTCCTTCACCCGCCACACCCAGCAGAGACATCCACCCACCCTGCATGACTCACAGCCAACGTGCTGACTCGGACCTGTTCAAGTGATGGAAAACAAATGGCCCCCAAGCGCAGGATAACGGAGGAGGAGCCGTTCCGCTCACATCCACATGTGAGCTTCAACAGTGAGTAACAGACTCCCGGATACTGGAAGAATAAAAAAAAAAAGAAAAAGAAAAAGAAAAGAAATAAAAATAGGAACTGACCGGCTTCTTTAAACATACTCCCATATCTGTTGTTCAGATAAGGCCCGATTATTTGTGAAGAAACAAGAGGGCATCTGCTTCCAAAGTATTTCCATCACTTGAGATAAAGCAACACAAAGAAACTCTGTTTATAGAAACCACATAAACACAATGACTTCACCTTGTTAAAGGACAAATGGTATGTTTTTCAAATTAAATGTCTTGAAGGAATACATATCACCAAACATCTTTCATGCTAATGTTTTATACTAAAATCGTCTTTTGTTSATCAAACCTRGAAAATAACGTCATGCYTTATCTCATAGGACATCCTGACYRGTCATGCTCAGAAYATATGTTGTAAGTGACTCTCAGCTACTACCATGTCCAATTTTAGCTCAATATCTGTTAATTTGACTGAGTTACGGCCGTTTTTGTGAAGGATAATGTCGATTAGCTGTGGGAGTCATCTTGATTTGGGTTGACTTCAAAAGTTATTCAGATGTAGAGGCAAATCGAATAGTTAATTTCTGAAAGATTTATTAAAATCTGTCCAGTGGTTCAGGGGATATTTTGCTAACAGACACATTTCTGCTTTATCAGATGAAGCTAATGTTGCAGGTAAAAATTAAGGCACAATGAGTAACCTGTAGAGTATAGGTTGTGGGTGAATCAGTGCTACTACCATACCAAAGTTTAGCACAGTAGCTGTAAAACTGACTGTATTAGAACCATTGCTGTGCTCTCTGATTTCAGTTGGCTGTGGCAGCCATCTTGAATAGAGTTGGCTTCAAAATCCAATCAGATGTGGAGGCACATCTAACAATTATTTCCTGAAAGTTTCATTGAAATCCATCCAGTGGTTCAGGACATATTTTGCTAACAGACAGACACAGTTGGCTCTAAGAGGTAGTGGCAAAGTTTTWAATACATCTGATCAGTTTGAGCTCAGAGTTGGGGAGAAGTTTCAGCTAATGTTAGCTCAATGTTTTTGAAACTGCTGTGGCAGCCATCTTGAATTGACTCCAAAATCAATTATAGATGTTTTATAAAAATCTGTTCAGTGACTCAGGACATATTTTTCAAACAATACAGACAAATGAACACACCCAAACACACACAAACACACACAAAGGGGCAAAACCATCATCTCCCCGCCTTCGCCCTCGGCAGCAGGGCATAATAAAATTTGAAAAAGGAATGTTCTTTTTAAACACAGAGCCAGGCAAACATTTGGCAATAAAAAACTTTTGGTTCGTCTTTTCAAAAGCGCCTCTCCGGTACAAAAAATTAAAAAATTAAAAAATAAAAACAACCCAGACCTGAATTTCTGTGAGTCCTTGCTTCTTAGAAAGTTCAGACACATTCTGGGAAAAGAAAACAGAAATTATTTTTGCACCTTGTGTCAGTAATCTCAAATAATCTGAGTCAAAGTGCTACACTATTGTTCACTTTTCAATAAGAACACTTATTGAAAAGAGTTTGAAATAGAAACGGCAGTCAGAGACACTGGGTGAAAAAGGACAAAAATACTCACACTTTGATTTTAATTTTTAACAAAAATGGAGTAAGAACAGTTTAATACGGAGCATGTCCAGTGACATTG